AAAGTCAACGCTCCGTCCCCCTTGTGTTCTAATCCAAAGTCCGGAAACCTTTCAGCTCGAGTTAAAAAACCATTTTCGGTGCCTAGAAGATTTCAATGTAGTTGACGATATGAATGACAAGCTCGTGGAAACTGACTATGAAACCAGGGCTACAAAATCTTTTCCAGCGATCTGTGTGCCAGAAAGATCCAACTGTCGAAACTGAAGACCGAATGTGGCAGCATCGTTTCCCGGACACCTGAGATTTTGAGTGAGATTGAGAGGTTCTATGGGCAGATGTACACGTCATCGTTGAAACCACTCGAAAGTGTGAGTAACGATCAAAGGGCAAGTCTTATCCAACACTATTCCGATGATATCCCGGACGTCAGTCAGAGCAAGATTAGAATGGCTCTCCAGCACCTTAAAAACGGTAAGTCCCGGAGCGAGGTTGGAATTACAGCGGAGCTTCTGAAAGCGGGTGGAAAACCGGTACTTGAATTTCATCAGTGTAAAAACTACCATGGTATCAGCTTGCTTAGCATTGTGGGTAAACTGTATGCTAAGGTGTAAATTGAAAGAGTTATGGAAGAAACTGATGGAAAAATTTGGGATGTGCAAGCTGGATTTAGAAAGGGGATGGGGTGTACGGATCAAGAGTTTTCCATGCGCATGATTGCGGAGAAATTTATGACCAAAAACCAGAAAGTTTTTTGTGCGTTCATGTACTTGGAAAAGGCTTATGACAGAGTGGACAGGAATGTGTTATGGCAAACACTGAACTCATTTGGGTTGAGCGTTGGCTTGATACAGTCATTTACAAGGTATCTTTATAGGGACTCTAGTGCTTATGTCAGGATCAACAGGGTCTACTCGGATTGGTTTGGCATTCAAAAAGGTGTCAGACAGAGATGTGTGGCTTCTCCATGGCTGTTTAACCTATTTATGAAAAGTTGTTTGCAAACTTTGAAAGTTGAAGAATGTGGGTTGAGAATGGGTGAGTTAACCGTCAAATGCCTTTTGTACGCCGATGATGAAGTCATATTTGCATCGTTGGCGGCAGAGTTGCAAATGATGGTTACTTTAATGAACTGGTCATTGAAAGAAAAGGGTATGAAAGTGAACGCAAGTAAGACGAAAGTGATTTTTTTTTTTATAGGAGAGGGGGCAAACGAGCATGCGGCTCACCTGATGGTAAGTGACTACCGCCGCCCATGAACAACCGCAACACCAGGGGAATTGCAGATGCGTTGCCGGCCTTTATGGTTTTTGAAATAGAAGAAAGTAAAATGTTATGTGAAATAGGAATAAAAGGGGAGCTGAATGAGAAAGTGGATGAATTTGTATATTTGGGATGTTTATTTAGCAGGGATGGTAGATATAATAAGGATACAGAACGACGAGTGAACGCAGGAAATAGAGTGAATGGGGCTCTACACGCTATTATGAGGAGTCAGAATGTGTCAACTAAGGCACGTATGGCAATTCATAATGCTGTGTCAGTCCCTACTTTAATGTATGGTAGTGAAAGTTGGGTCTGGCAGAAGAAGCATGAGAGTAGAATAAAGGCTGTAGAAATGCGGTCATTAAGGAGTATGCTAGGGCTGAATCTGAATGACGGGGTGAGAAATAGTGTGATAAGAGAAAAGTGTGGTTTGCAAGATGACGTTGTGACTAGGATTAAAAAAGGAATGCTTCGGTGGTTTGGTCACGTAGAAAGAATGAACGAGGAAAGAGTGGCAAAGCAAATTTATGTTTTAGAAGTGAATGGCAAAGTCGGGAAGGGACGCCCTAGATGAAGATTTATCGACCAAATCGGCGATACATTGAAAATGGGCCAGATTAGGAGTATCCTTAACCGACTAGCGTGTATGTGTAAATATATGGATGTAAAGGTGGCGAGAGTGGTGTGTCAGGATCGCGCCAAATGGAAGTCAGTAGTCTCTACCTACCCCTCTGGGTGACAGGCGTAAGTGTTTGTTTGTTTTTGTTTTTTGAATTTCATCAGAATCTCTTTAATTCAGTCCGTCATAGTTGCACTACTCCGGAGGTGTGGAGCAGAGGTGCAGTGGTCATATTCTTCAAGAATGGTGAAACCCTCTCTTGAAGAACTGCAGACCGATTCCTCTTTCTGAGTAGCGTGTACGTGCTGTTTTCGAGAGTCATTACGAATCATCTTGCACGTAGACTCGACGACTATCAGCCTCCCGAACTAGCATGTTTCCGAAAAGGCTTTAGCACCATAGACCACATACATACCCTTTGGCAAATTGTACAGAAGACCGAAGAGTACAATCTGCCATTTTGTCTTTCGTATGTGGACTATGAGACAGCCTTTGATTCCGTCGAAATTTGGGCGGTACTGTAGTCCCTTCAGTGGTGCCAAGTGGACTGTCAGTATAACGCAGTGCTGAATGTTTGTACAATAGGGCTACGATAGTTATCCGAGTACAGAAACAGAATACAAAACCTATCCAACTGCAAAGATGTGTAGGACAGGGTGACGCAATATCCCCGAAACTCTTCACCGCTCTGCGTAGGAAGACGTTTTACAGCAACTAGACTAAAAATGATACGGTATTAACATCAATGGCGAGTACATCACTCACCTCCGATGTGCCCACGATATAGTCCTTATGACATAATCGCTGGAGTACCTAAGCACTATGCTCAATGATGAACTCTTAAGATGAACATGGACAAAAAAAATCATGTTTAAGGTCCATGTCACACCTATGCTGATACTTTTTGGAGCACTAATCTCTAAGTTGTTGACGAATAATATATTTACCTGGGACAATTTGTCCGACTAGGTCAGTCCATCAACTCGGTTGGGCAGCGTTTGGGAAATTGTCATAATTGTCATCTTCTAGTCAGACACAACCGTTTCGTGTTGCCAGTGATGACCTATGGATTTGATACGTGGTCCTTCACTGCTGGCCGTATAGGGAAGCTCAAAATCGCTCAGCGAGCTATAGAGAGGGCTATTCTCGGCGTTTCTCTGCTTGATAGACTTAAAAACGAGGATATCCGCAGTAAAACCAGAGCATAGCTCAAATAATAAGTATGTTGAAGTGGCAATAGGTCATTTACGTATATAGCTCTAAGAACCGACAATCGATGGGGTAAAAAGGTTTACAAGTGGCAGCCTCGTACCGGCAGGCGAAGTACAGGCCGTCCCCCACTAGATGGAGTGATGGCCTAGACCGTGCTTTGTGGCATTCCTTTGGGGATGCCTATATTCAGTAATAGACTTGTGAAGGGCTGTAATGATGATGATGATGAATCAAAAATTTAAATTAAAAGAACGACTAGTTACGTATGTGTACAGCTTAACCAAAATCTGGGTATTGAATAAACAGCAATGCCAACTATATTTCAAGTACCGACTAACTCTCTGTCTCATGTCATGGGTGCTACACAAACTTACCTTTTTATTGTTTTAATTCATTATCATCTATTATTCCTTAAAAATGGAATGTTTCAAAAAATGTCAACAAAAATACGTCGGAACAATTTGTCTTTAAATAAAAGGGTATTTTAAGAAATTAATTTGCCAGTAGTACAAATTCATAATATTTTGTAAGTTTTTACGTGAATGATGCGGCAATGCGACTACAGAACCGTGAGTGAAGAGCTGAATTTGTGCGTTGTGGTAACACATAACCTAAATTTTACTTTTCACAACGAAATTGTAGCCGTAAATGCCTTAAACGGGTCTTAAATTCGTCAGCACCGATAATATTTTGCGGGGAAACTGGCGTGTCTACTAAACTAAAAATGCTTCGAGCACACCATGATGCTGCGAACTCCATCATGTATTGGGGTAGCGCTGTGGTTTCTTTACTGTTTCAATCCTCTCAGAAACAAGAGCTCTACGCAGGACCGTGTACATATACTATTTTCTTGCTTTCATTTGTATAATTGATTAGCTGCTATGAATATAATTCAATAAATAGATAGATTTATTCTTAGCATTTACTCAGTTCTTGATAAGTAAAATAAATAAGCGAGTATCGTCAGAAAAAGAATGAAATTAATTTTCTCTTACAATAGCTTTCATTACTTCCACAAATTAATCCGCTCAGTCTCAGATACATAAATGGCACTTAGTTAATGCTGGCTGCGAAAATGTCTCCGCTTTTGATTTGAAACGTTTATGACAAATGGATGAGAAATATTTTATGATTTTATTGCGAAGCTAGAGGTATAAATTTCTAATGTCGCAATTCTTATTGGCTTACTATATTCAATTATAATTCATATTTCATTTATTGCATGTCACAAAGTATAAAGTTGTTAAAATACGAGGGTGGATTGAAAAGTACTCGGCCTAACCAAGAAAATAAAGAATACTAAATCAGTTATATTTTTATTTTTCTACATAATCACCATCAAGTTCAATACACTTTTGCCACCTCCCCTTCCAAGCATTTAGACCGTTGAAAAAAAATGATTCTTCCTTAGAGTCATATTTTGACTCTAAGGAAGAATCATTTTTTTTGCGTCTACAGCTGCTTTGACCTCGTCGTTTGTCGAAAATCTTTGACCTCCCAAGTGCGTTTTTAGGTTAGGGAACAGAAAGAAGTCTGATAGTGCCAGATCAGGTGAATACGGCGGATGCGGTAACAGTTCAAAGCCACAGTTGTGAATTTCAGCCATTGACTGTACTGACGTGTGAACACGGGCGTTATCTTGATGAAACAGGACTTTTCTTCTGAGCATTCCTCGACGTTTTTCTTTTATTTCCTCTCGTAAACGACGTAGTAAGGTGCAGTAGTAATCAGAGTTTATATTCTGACCCCTTTCAAGATAATCAATCATAATCACACCTTTCGAGTCCCAGAATACCTACTGAAGCCATCACCTTATTTGCCGACAAAATCGACTTAGCCTTTTTAGGGGGTGGTGAACCAGGTCTTCTCCACTGTTTTGATTGTTGTTTTGTTTCCGGTGTACAGTAATGAACCCATGTTTCGTCCATAGTAACGAAACGATTCAAAAAATCATCTGCATCGGCTTCAAATAACTTGTTCAACTGAAAGCAGTCGCGGAACCCACCTCGCAGACACCTTGTGGAAACCCAACTCGTTGACAATGATGTTTTGAGTTTGTTCATAAGAGATGCCTATAATCTCGGCTATCTCTCTAATTTTTAATCTGCGGTCTCCCATTATTAAATCAAGTACTTTTGTAATATTTTCGTCAGTAGTTGACGTCGAAGGCCTTCCAGAGCGGGGTTCATCTTTCACACTCTCTCTACCACGCTTAAATTCTGCTATCCATTTTTTGACGGATGAATATGACAGAGCACAATCGCCTAATGTACTGACCATGTCATCATGGATGGCTTTTAATGATAGCCCCTTCTTATGGAGGTACTTAATGACGGCACGCTGCTCGATTTGCTCCATTCGCGGAAATTATGTCCGATTACTTTGTTAATAAATTTATAAAATCACAACTAATTATCGCACACGTTTCGAACTTCACACAATGAACTAGTCTGAACTGAACTAAATAATGTGGGTAGATTTGATTTTTAGAATTGAATGGATCTATGTTAGGCCGAGTACTTTTCAATCCACCCTCGTATATTTAAAATTCATTGCCCTTCAAGGGCCTTTGCAGATGTTAGGAGATTTCGTCAGGCGAATTGAAGATCGCAGCATCAATCGTACCTTTGACGCTGCTCCCTGTAGCCGGTCTATATTCAACCAAATCTAAGAAATACCTTTTGACGTTTCATATTAATCATTCCCCAATTTCTTTGTACAAGCATGCTCTCAAGACTTAAAATAACCTTTTAATTAAATCCAAAGAATTATAAAGTTATGCATATATCATTACAACATGTATAGTTCTTTATTACTAATTTAAATTTGAATCTTTCAAGCAAAGCAAAATATTTAAAAAAATACTGGGTTCTAGTTTTATGCTTGACGTTGTTTCAATCATAGATATAGAATAGTATAGATTGCGATGAAGTGATTAGAGCGAGAACAAAATTAAAATGCACCAATATGCCATTTGCAAGTTGGGAGGCAAATAGTGCTGCACCATGCATTGCCGGACTCAACTTCAATTATCGATACCGATTGCAGAATATTTGTGTCTTCTGATTTGACGCAGATGACGTAAGTGAATAATTTTACCCCACTATGGCGAAGCCAAAAAATGGTTACGATTTTAAAAGGCTACGTATGTATATTCATCTGTTCCCTCAGATCTTTTAAACTATTAGTAGTATTTTGACAAATTACATATCTTTAGAAGTATTAATGCCATTTCACTACATAAAGTCACATAAAATCTGATATGGCGGCTTATTGCGGACAGATAAGTACTCCCAAAAATGAAATAAATATTGAAATATCGTGTCTGGGTATCCAATAAAAGGTGTAATTCAGAATGTTCCCGATATTCCAAAAATACATATTATAATATATTTTAACTATAAGCGATAAAGAGGAGTGGGAGGAGTGTGTGCTAATAACTACTAAACTACCATGTCAATAAATGTCTTTGCACAGTATTAGTGAAAATAGTCCGCTGCGGATTTTCGCACCGTTCAGTTTTCTCCTGCAGCTTGGTGGAAAGTGTCACACTAATTCACACCTCCGATGCGCCACCTCGCACTACTTAGCTTTTTCGCACACCTCTGGTTGAAACGGCCACTAGCCGTTGAGCATATCATGAGTCTACTGCTCACCTCACCTCAAAGAAATGGGATCCCACGTTGAGCAGCTTTTGGCCGCAGCCTTGAGAGTCTACTCCCTCCATCTATTACCCACATGAGATTGACACATATGCTCAACCAACCAGTACAACGACAGATATAGCCAAAAGGCAGCTCTAAGATAATAATAATAATTCGCCATCAGAAAGGGTTTATTGTGTTCTTTTTATTTGTTGTTTTTTTGTTGTTGAGCATATGTTTGTCTCGCCCACCAACAAGTTGCCTGCAATCATTCAAAGGTGGAAAATTTACAAAGACACTTTATTATGTTGTTAAATAAAACATCATGGAGTTCAGACAGTCTGCAGCTCCGTTATGAAAAGAACCAACTTGGGTAAAGCTACTTAGGTGTGAGCCAAATCAAAACGCAGAGAGCACCATTGACAACAACCACCGCAGAGACGCAATGCTGCAAAACGCAACAAGCATCAATACGACTATTGTTGGGCTTTCATCATTCCATGGTCCCTCATACGACCCCAGCAGACACCACCATCCACATACCTCCATCGACCAGAATCAAAAGTTGCGTCGAAACAGACGCAGTACACCTGCAGATCCATCACAAGATGCAATACTACAAGTAGCAGTAAGCATCAATGCAACTACCATAGGGGTGGTGCCCCTCACAACACACTCACATGATCCCCATCAACTTTGGCAACAAAATCGGTACTGTTGTTATATTAAAAATAGCATATTTATGCTATTTTAGTACCAATTTTGTATAATAGCAGCACAGCACAATACAGTATTGTAGGCTACTTTCCTACATTATACACACACGCATATACCTACACTATTATTTGTATAGACTATTTATCTCGCTAAAGTATAATAGCAGCACGCCACTAAGACGCCAGTAACCAAAATTCTACATATCATAGAGCTATTACACTAAGGCATGGAGTTGAGTATGGTTGTTGCACTTAAAAGTACTACCAAACACACTTACCCTAATCCGAAAGATAGTAGATGTATTATAACATACAACATTTTAAAATTCAAACTTATGCAATAAGAAATATATAAACATAATTATTTTAAATTCTATTTCATGGTTCGTACCAAAATATTATAAATTTACCTAGAATTTAATGAATTCGCTTTAACTTGGGGAAACACCTTAATTTCCTTTACATAATTAATTACTCCTGGGTCAATGATATTTTAAGGAAAGAGCTTATTTCTTTCTTTCTTCTTTGAAATTTTTTTGAAATTTTTGAAATTTTTATATATTTTTATTTTAATGGCTAGTCATTAACTTGTTACTTAATTGATTAGCAAAGCGTCAACTCGTTTCGTGTTCAAGTCTAAAGAATTAATTTTTCAGTCTTTGTTATCACCAAATTACTAACAATTAATTTATGAGAACTTCAAAGCGTTCAAAGCGTATAACGTTATTATACCAAAATATGTTTAAAATCCTGCACTTCTTAAATTTAATATACCGAAAAATAGAAAGTAATTATTGTGGTAACATGTTTTCTTATTCTATACTAGTTTAAATGCAACAAACACTACAAATATTTCACTTTATTGTTACATTTTATTGTTTCAGAGGGCCTAAGTAAATTAACCTCCCATTTGGAAGTTGTTTTAAACTATTTCGGTAGTCTAATTTCAATATGCTCGTAATTGTATATACTCCCCACGTTTTATGAACCCCAGAGTCGGACGCTAGTAATTTTTTCCCTCTCGCATATCTCGACAACAAATAACAATATCGACTCCAAAACTAGTTTAATCCTACGCGTAAAAATTTAAATAAGTACTGAACACCTGATTAAGATTTCATTAAGGTAGCTCATTTGTAATAACTACTAAACTGTTTTGATATTCACAAGCTCATTAATAAATAAATTTAACGCAACAATTTTTGCGAGAAACGTTTTTTATGTTTTTTATAAATTTTATATGGCATAGTTACCAGTTAAAATTTATTTTTGAAAATACGTTTAATGTAAATATGCGAATATTCAAATTGAATCTAAAATAGACTTCAAATTAGACAGTAATAGTGTTCTGTGCTTCAAATAGCATTTTTTCCAGAAAATTTTGGTCCCACCAAGGATTCGAATCCAAGACCAAATAATCAGCAGTCGCGCTTACGACGACTAGAATAACGAGACAGTCAAATTACGACATTATCCTTGAATCTTGTATTCATAAATACGGTCCAGAACTGAAAGAACAGTCAACGGTTTGGCTGTTTCAAAATTAATCAATGCCCACTAAAGTGAAGCGCATGGAAGATTTAGGTCACTAGTTTTTTCACTTTGAGGGGGAATCTGGTATCAACTCCTTTACAAAACATCAATATCAATATAGGTGAATAGTATACTACCAAAATTTAGTCATAAACTTTGCTCACTGCTGTTAGCTACCGAACGCCAGGCTTCGCGGGCTTCATCGCGACAATGTACCTACGCGCTCCGCGCTCTAAACAAGGAACTCCTGAACATCACACCGGTGAAGGTTTTATGTCACCTTCTAAATAAAAATACATTTGAAATGGAAACAGTTTTCGTCGCCAGAAGATGCACTAATAGCGTTCGATCAGGCGACGATTTCTGAGACAGAAAAAGTGTTTCGAAAATTGTTTCAGACGCATAAAACTTTGTACAGATGCTGGGAGAGGTTTATTTGTAAAACTTTAATAATAAAACCTTATAACATATTTTTTTTTTAGTTTCGCAAAATTTTTTTAAATGGCCCCCGTATAATAACTGAAATTAATATCAAACATTCAACCAGAAAGCAATACGGAAAGCTTGTCAAGTTACAGGAAAAATATGGCCCAGTTTGGCTCTAGAAGATTATCCTGTATTATGGAAAAATATTTTATTTCGCTCGAGTGGTCGTATCGAGGTCCCAGTAAGGAGAGATTTGTTAGTGTTTTTCAGGATTTAAGGAATGAGTATTCGCTCTACCACCGTTTTTGCATCGCATTGCTTCACCGATTTAGTAAAGTTTTCTAGATCTATTTTTAGATATTCAAGTTAAAAAATATTTCTTAATATGATCCTTAACATAATTATCTAGAATGTTTATTGAAAACTGATAAGATTCAATAATTTAATAAAGTCAGGTGTACCTCAAAATTTGAAAACAAGAATGAACAACCAGTGCGTGCTGCCAGTGATGACTTATGGAACTGGGACGGGGTCCTTCACTGCATGCCGTATGAGGAAGCTCAAGGTCGCTTGTCGAGCTTTAGAGAGGGTTCTGCTCGATGTTTCTCTGTTTAGTAAACTGAGAAATAAGGATATCCGTAACAGAACCAGACTAACCTACATAGCCCAACGGATTAGTAAGCTGAAGTGGCAATGCGCTGGCCATATAGTTCAAAGAACCGGCAATCGATGGGGAAGCAAGGTTCTCAGCTGACAAGTTTGGAGCAATCACTAGATGGAGTGACGACTTGGTAAGACATGCAGGAAGTCGATGGGTGCAGGTGGCTCAGGTCCATGCTTTGTGGCATTCTTTGGGGGAGGCATATGTTCAGCAGTGAATTTGTGAAGGGCTGTAATGATGATGATAATGATGATGAAATCGCTTTTAAAGTCCGACACTATTCCGATGATATACCGGACGTCAGTCTGAGCAAGATTAGAATGGCTCTCCAGAACCTTAAAAACGGCAAGGCCCCAGGTGAGGGTGGAATTACAGCGG